GCCATCCCTATTAGGGTGGAGGCCATCGCTACTAGGGTGGAGGCCATCGCTACTAGGGTGGAGGCCATTGCTATTAGGGTGGAGGCCATTCCTATTGCGGTGGGGGACATGGCTATTAGGGTGGAGGCCATTGCTATTAGGGTGGAGGCCATCGCTAATAGGGTGGAGGCCATTCCTATTAGGGTGGAGGCCATTGCTATTAGTGGCTACTGTGGATATTTTTTCCGTTTTTATTTGCAGTGACACCTTGAGTTTTCGGCGCCGTGAGGAAGGTGGATGCCGAGCCTTTTTGGATCGGCAGGAGAGACGGCGACAATGCCAAGAGTCAACTGAAGTCAATGTAACCAATAAACTGATTGTTTTTTCATGTTTTTCCAATTGCCAGACACTGCTATTGGATGATGTTTTCAGCAATTCAACACAGATATGTTCCACACAGGTCATGATTCGTTTGATTCGTTGCAGGATCACTTGCTGCAGATTTGCATCTTGGTATTGCGGTCAATGTCTGAGGAGCTGATGCAAGCATTCTGGTTCACTAACAAAGCAGCATAGCAGAAGCCCTCCGAGCATCATTTGTGATGCTTCCCAGTGTCAGGAGGTTTCATTGGAGATCAAATTTGTGAAGCAAAAACTTTGCCAAATGCTGCCGCCCTTACTGAGCAGACAACATGAGGACAGTCCATGTTCGAACGTGTGTTCATGCCAATTTTTAAGGACGCTAACAAACTTTACATTCGTTCAAGTGTTATCGATGCTTTTTCTATCAGTTTTTGGAGGGAGGGACATCTTTGTTTCTATGTCCTCAAGAAGCGCAGATCGAAACATAGAACGCGCATTCTGAGCTAACAATCGCACTGCGGGCTGGTATCGTTCTGGGGCGGAAAAGATCAGGTTATGCTAAATCACTTCCAACATCCATAGACTCAATGGTCGCTAGTAGTAACAAGTGCCACGCTAGTAGTAACAGGTGCCTTACTAGTAGTAACAATGTTTGCTAGTAGTAACAAGTGCCTTACTACTAGTAACAAAAATAACTAATTAGAATTGTTTTACTAGGCTCTAAACTACAAAGTCAGGTCAACCTTTCCTGTAATGGTCCTTAAAGACTATGGTTTGTTCATTCACCAGCAGTGTTTAGACTGTGGATGCTGCCAGAGTGTTCAAATACTGCCAGTGGGGGAGAACGATGGTGGAGCTTAACGACATGAACCGTGGATGCGAGCCTGACGGAGGATCAGGAAGACTCGCAGAAGAGTTGGTCCAGGCTGACTCCTTGTTCCTAGTAGCTTCTTGTTACTAGAAGCCATTTGCTTAGTAGTAATGCCCTTTGTTACTAGTAGCGATGCCAGGAGCCCCTAGTAGCTTCTTGTTACTACTAGTAAGGCACTTGCTACTAGTAGCGATGCACTTGTTCCTAGTAGCGTCCTTGCTCCTAGTAACGTCGTCACCGTCATCCCTTTTCGGGTCGCAGCTTCGACGGTAAAGAAGCTGGCGATGCTTGAGGATGCCAACACCTCCAGTCAGAAGAGCCTGGTTTCGTAGTCCGAATCGTTTCTGGTTGAATGACGCGTTCAGTGCTGCCATGTTGGGCAGAAGATGGCACAAGGCATTTCTCTTCTCCAGCTTGGAGCATCCAGTACAACATTGCCTCCAACCGAGAAGCGATGGCCTCCAACCTACTTGTGTTTGAGTTCATTGGCGGACAAAGAATTGAGAGCATCCGTTTAATGCACCCAGGATTGAAAGCATAGCAAAGCGCTAGAAACGCTACAGTTTAGAACGCACATTTCCCGCGACACTTCGACAATTTGGAGCAGCAATAGAATAACAACTTGGAACACAATTTCTTAAATGCAAAAAACGCGCCCTATGGGGTGTGGAGAGGGCCGGTTTTTTGAGGACATTGATGAAGTCGCAGCCCAAGAGACTTGCAAAACTGAAAATAACCTCGTGAACCGTGGGATTGGTCTTTTTTCCTTGCTCCTAGTAGTAAGGCCAGGAGCCCCTACTAGCGTCCTTGCTCCCAGGAAAGAGAGCTTAATGTACAACTGGCTTGGGGATCCATTTTTGCGGAGTGTGGGCCCTGTGGACGCTGTTGCTCCGACACCGAAGATCTTAAGACTGACATTCCCAGTCCGAAAAGAGGATGAACCCAGTGAGTTGACCGTGCTTGAGTTTGAATTGGAGACTGCATTCTTCAACAAAAACCAAGAGATTTGTCTTTGCCAAGGAGTGCTTTCCCGCGTTGACAGGACCTTTTGCTAAGCACCCTAAGTTTGCTCCACAAGCTGGCGATCTTTGAGCAAAACAAGGACGGCGCAACGAATTCGATGTCCGGGAGTCGTTTTTGACGTTTGCAAATAGCCCTGGAAAGGGCAGAAATAGCTGCGATACCCAAACATAGCTAGCCATCTGGGAGTGTTTCTGGAGATTTTCAGGACCAGCTGATATTGGAAATGCCGTGCTTTGTCGAACTGTTGGGCCATCCAGCCACCGAGGTGCGTTTTCACAAATTGTTTCACCGAGAAGCCGATGACTTGACAGGTCTTCAACATGGCTCTTCGTTTGTCGGCCTCTCAAGCTTTGTCGTTTCTGGCCAACCTAGGGCCAGGAGCCCCTCGTAGCGATGCCCTTTGTTCCGAACGTAGCATCATTGTTCCTAGTAGTATTGCCAGGAGCCCCTAGTAGCATCCTTGCTCCTAGTAGCACCGCATTTCGTTTGTGTCAGGTGCTACAACCTTTCATTTGATGCCAGAGGCCGCGCTGCTCTCACTGAGCAGCACGCTTAGATCTGTGACGCTTGTGGGAGGTATGCAGTCTACATCAGTCTACACGATGCAAGCCAGTGTGTGCTGAACGGTTAAAGTAAAAGGATTCTACATGTTTGTTTCACGCAACACCTCATTCTGTAAAGTGCGAGTTCCAAACTACTACTGTAAATAGCATGTTCACCGCATTAGAATATCCTCTTGAATCCTAGAGCAGCAACCTCCAGCAAAGCGGAGGGGAAGCTTCAGCAGAGAAACATATTCAATAGGCCATAGGAAACATCAAGAGTCTGATTGCGGTCATGCTTTCTTTCATGTGGTGTTTTGACGCACCGTCATTTTGCAGCAAGATTTTTGTAGAGTACCGTGGATCATTATGACTTGTCCGGTGATTTGCACGTTTGTTTATTTGTGCGGTTAAAATTGTACCATATGTGCTGTTTTGCTCGTAAGGTTTTTGGATTTTCTCGTATTGTGTCCGCGGTTAAGCAGTTTGTGGGATTTTCTTGACAAGAACGTTGAGAGCAAGTCGTGACGGTCACGAACTCCACTGAACACATAATCATTTGGAATTTTAACACACACACACACACTATATATATACATACATAATCTTCTCATGACCTCGTCTCTATTTTAAACGAGTACAACATAAACAACTCAACGCGCGAGAGGCATATTTGTATTTACTCCTTAAAAAGCAACACAACAACACCAGTTCCACAGTGAACACTTAAAGGAGCTTAAAAGCACTTTGGACTTTGAACCAGTCAAGACAGGGTGCTTTGGGATTAGAAAGGCGTGCAATGAATAGCTAAAGGGTTCTTTATGTCTGCCTGTGTGATCGGCGCTTTGTTTGCTGCTGCTGCTGCTGCTGCGTTGTCTTCCCAATTGTCCCCGCATTTGTAGAGTCAGTTGTCATCTGGGGTCGATGCCGGTGTAAGGGATTCTTGCTCCTAGTAGCGATCCCAGAACCAGTAGCGCCCTTGCTCCTAGTAGTAATGTCCTTTGCTACTAGTAGCTTCTTGCTCCTAGTATTGAGGCCAGGAGCCCCTAGTAGCGTCCTTGCTCCTAGTAGCAAAGGGCATTGCTAATAGGAGCAATGACGCTACCAGTAGCTCCTGGCCTTACTACTAGTAAAAAGAAGCTACTAGGAGCAAGAGCCTCGCTACCAGTAACAAAGGGCATTAGGACGCTACTAGGGGCTCCTGGCATCGCTACTAGTAGCATTCTTGCCATTAACAAGAAGCGATTAGAAACAAGAAGCTACTAGGAACAAGTGCCTTACTACTAGTAACAAGAAGCTACTAGGAACAAGTGCCTTACTAGTAGTAACAA